AGTCAGGAAAACTGTTCTAATTATTTCAAAAAGAAGGGATTTAACATAGGAGTTTGTTTACATAGTTCTTGGAAGAGCAAAAGGGAGCAGAAGGATTCTAGAGGAACAAGAAAGAAGGGAGCAACAAACACGCAAAGATCAGAAGCTGCAAATATCCATGGATGGTTTGCACTGAACCAGCCAGGGCACATGCCTGGGTTGCAGAACCAGGCCTTGATTCTGTGGAAGATGGATTTCTGAACAGATGCTGTGTCACTCTGGGTTTCTAGGTTCCAGAATCACAAACCCTCACTGCAGCTATGGCTAATGCTAGTGTGGACCTTGGGAAAGAAGACACCTACTAAGAAGGGCTCCTGGTGGCTAACTGAGCTCAAATTAAAACAAGAAAAACAAAATAAACAGAGCCTAGTAGGCTATTTCTGCACAGGGGCCTCACACAAATTGCATTTCAGGGAAAAATCTGCACTAAACTGCCTTCCTGCACTGTGTTTCTCCCATCTGAGCCAGCCCTTACAAGAGTTTCTGGAATCCTATTTCAACCAATAGGACAGAGGCTTTCCCCATCCAATCTAAACTGCACAGCTTTGACCCATCATAACAGCTCTATTCTGACCAATCAGGACAGTGCCTTTTAGACCAATCAAATGTGAATTTGGAGTCCTCATTTACATGAGAGAGACCAATCAAGTACTAGGGACAGGGACTCCTGTCCATATAAGCCACCTCACCTCTGACTTTGTAAGCGCACTTTCCCTTTCCACCAAAGACTGAAGACTGCTTCTCCCTATCTGAGCTAAAACACGAAGATGTCTCGCTGGAGTACAGTGTAGCAGATCAGTATAGGCCAGGCCAGACTGGCACAGAAAGGAACAGACCAAAAAAAAGCCCAGCAGAGCAGATCATCACAGTGCAATGCTGAATGGCAAGGAGCAAAGCAGAGCAGACCGTTGAGGAACATAGCCGAGCTGTCTAGCTGGAGAGGGGCCTGGGCCCACGCCTGCCTCACAGCTGTGCTGTAACACAGTTGAGGCGTTTTGCACTGAATAAAGTTTCCTTCTTCACTGCACCCCAAACTGGGGATTCCTATTGGTAGTGAATTGGCATCAGTGGCAATTAGTTGATGCTAGAAACTTCCAGCAACCATTAGCGATGGCCATACTGGAAGAGCCAGAAGAAAAACAACAGCAGAACCTACCAGGGAGCTAGAGGATACAGTGTACACACTGCAGGCCCAGTGGATTAGCAGAGTCCAGAAGTGCAGATTGAGGCTGAGACAATTTGGGAATAACTAGCCATGGATGTCACACATTGACCAGGGCACAAGTGGCTCTTGGTGTAATGGGTTGCTGAGCTAGAGGTCCCCAAATCCCCCACTAACCTGGCTTGGAGAAAGGGGAAGCGAGCAGAGCCATTGAGGGTTACTTCACATATATAAAGAACTTGGCCAGTGTTTTAGTAATGCTAATAGCTGTGCTTGCTGCTCTTGAAGCCAGGGAGATGTGTGTGTTCATTACTAACAAGTAATGAAGCCAGGAGGCAGTTCCCACTTCATAGGACCAAGCCTTCCTGGACTAATAATGGCAGCTGAGAAAGGCAGAAGAAACCAGAGTACTGGCAGGTGTAACCTTTTGTGGGAGGAGTTGGGAATGGGGTTATAGAGGAAGATCTGCGCTGAGATTTAAACCCAAGTGTGGGGCAGCCATTGCTTTCTCAACCACGTGACTTGGGAATGGAGCCGGGGTCTTGGCCATATGGTTTGAAAGGATGCAGAAGGACCCCACTGGCCCACCAGGCGAATGGGCCATGCGGTTTTGGATTAAGAGAAGGAGCCTAGCAGAGCACAGATGAATGGGAGAAGCCAGAATACAGATGGGAATCTGCCCAGCTAAGCCACAGACTTCTATTTTTTTTTTTCCTCAGAGGTGGTACCTCTGACTGGCCTGGTTTGGTGGGGGGAGGCAAGGCTGTGTGATTATGGTGGTTGTTTTTTGTTTATTTCTAAAGGGAGTGGGATTAATGGCAGAATTCCACCATTATTCTAAATCTGTATAATTTTTGAATAAATAGTTCCTTTCCTTTTCATAAGACTCTGGCATTGGGAGTCACTTTTTTGGGGGGCGGGGACCCAGGACAGTAGAACTCAGAGTGGTTCTGTTTCATTGGTTTGTACTAACGCTCAAGGCCTTGCAGAATCTTCCTTTCCAACATCATTTATTACTTCTCTTCTTGCTCTCTGCTTCTCCTGCCAAAGGTCCCCACTGTGCCATAAGGGATCCTTTCCCCTTCCACGGCCATGCTTTTGCTATTTCCTGAGGGATACCCCATCTAATGTGTATGAGGAAAACTCTTACTTGTGCTTTGAAGGTCAAATCAGGGAACTCACGCTCTGCAAGGCCTTCCTATCACTGTTTTGACCTGGAAACAGAGGTGTGCTGATAAAAAAAAAGCAATGCAAAACCACTGATTTGTAGCAATTACTCATTTATATGGGATAACTGTTATGTAGGACAAGGCTCTCAAGGCCTGGGCAGTTCTTTCTAAGTCCTATTCTTGCTAAGTGTTAAAATGTAACACAATATTTTGCAGACTCAGCTATAAACAGGTTAAGTTGAGGGAACCCAAGGATAAGTGTAGCCAACTTCAAAGAAGAAATCCACAGACGATTAACTAAATGTAAACAACGGCTAATCCTCACTTGGAGACAATTTTGGATGTGAACCTATCTCCTCTACTTGCTGCAACTAAGTAAAATTATCTAATGACAACTAGGTCTCATTCTTGAATGGAACACCCCAAGATACCAACTCCATGAGTTTGGTAACATAAACAATCCCATTGGAGTCGCTAACATTCAGTGGGGGGTGAACCTATACCAGCTCACCTGGCTGGCACCCTTCCTGTAAGCAATGTCTCTGTTGTGAAATTCCTTAGCCATTCATTCAAGCCTGTACCAGAGCACTCACCACTTTCTACCATAAATTATAGTTGTTTCTGTACTTGCCTTCATTCTCTCACAGAAAAGCAACCTCATATACGAATGAGGCAAGGATTCAAAATGTAGCCCATCACTCACAGCAGTGTGGACACTGACTAAACTTCCAGAATTTCAATTTTTTCCTCTGTTAAATATGGCTGCAACCCTACACCACAGGGGTGTTACAGAACTAAATAAGATAACACGTAAAAGCATCCCACATAAGAGGTCCTGGCACATGGTAGAAGTTCAATAGATGCTAGTTTTCTACCATTTTCTCAGGATTTTTACAATCCAGGAGAGGAGCCACACACAATTCAGTTTTTATTTACCCAAAGTACCAAGAATGGTGATTTATGATTAGAAATTGCTTGAAATATTCTTGTTCATGTTTCCATGGAGAGAATGAAGAGGGTAACAAGGCGAGGGTGGGGTGGACCAGAGCTCAGAACCTGATGAGGAGGTGGGGTAGGCAGACTGGAAGAAAAGAAAAAAGGAGATAAGCACCAAGTGCACACTTGCCTAAGCCCAGGGTTTCCTGGATGAGCCTGGAGGTCCTCTTTGGCACCTCCTTTCCCTCAGGCGTTCTCAAAGACAACGTGCACACTTACTATTGTTTATTCCCCAATCCTGGCTTTGGTTGAACTGGAAATCAGAGTCCGGGCCACCAACAGTTTTCTGGGTGGTAATAATGACAGCAGCAGCATTTCTAACTGCAGCTGCTGCTGATGGCATTTCCATATACTTAATCCAGAGAGGCAGGACAAGTTGGCCATAGTACGTGGTGGCAGGTAAAATGCTCAAATAGGAATGCTGGGTTTTAAGGAGTTTTTTACAGAAATCACATGTATTTCACAATTTCTGGCATTCTTGAATTGATAGATAACTGTCAACGAACTCCCACTTACAACCTAATATTCTTGGAATCTGCTTGCAGCTTCAATTTGATATTTTAAATAACGTTAAAGAAGGGCAGTCGACTGTTAAGTTTAGCAAATGGGCCTGTTTTTCAGAGGTCAGTGACACTGCTGGCTTTCATTTCTTCTTGTGGCTGAAGATCTGCACGTCTCGTCTGCAGCTCACCAACACCGTCTGAGATCTCCCTTGACTTAACAGCAAACAGATCTGTGGGTACCATCTTTTCTTTCTTATGGGACCAGTGTTTCTGTGGATCTGATGATGGTATCTGCGTATCCCTTGACACACCTCTGTGCTTGTAGTAGGCATTCAATAAATGCTTATCGAAAAAATAAATTCAGCCTCCACATATGCAATCGCTATACCACCATAATTCACCTTCTTACCTACGTTAAAAATCTATACATTCAACAGATTGGAATGAAACACACATGATGGCATGTTCAGTGTTTTTCTTTAGGCAGAGAGAGTGTGACTTCATCTTTTCCTTTTCCTGGTTTGTCTTACCTCTATCACTAGCATTACTTTCTTATAATAACAATAAACTTTTTAAAAGACATTTCAGTCTATCATAGCACAGAAAATGCACGGGGTTTTGATTTTAGCAGTTTTGGGGATTAATCATTTTCTCTGCTGCTTCTGTAACTAAAGCCAACAAAACAGCCCAGAGAACTTTGAGAGGAGGCCTTCAAAGAACTTCAAAGACACGCCAAATTTAGAATAAATATTTCTTTTCATCGTAAAATTTGACTGCCTTCCGCATGCCACCAGGTGGGTTGGACTCGGAAGCCTGGCGACCGCGGTATCAGGCTGGGGACGCAACTTTCCCGTATTCCGCGCCTGCGGCACCTCCTGGGAAAACACTCCAGTACGCGCACACGCTGCGCCCGCCGCGCCACCCTTCCCAGCTACATTCTTCGAAAACCGAGGTGACAGCCGCCGCAGTGTAGCGGGGTGGGAGAGAAGGCGGAGAGGCGGGACAGCAGGAGGGCAACGGAGGCGGTGGGCGGGGGCGGAGTCGCGCGTGCGCGGTGGTTCTGCCAGCAGGAAACCGGGAGCGCGGAGGCGGAGCCTCGGGGACGGCCAGGGGGCGGGGCTCTCCGCGGCTGCCGCCGCCGCCACCGCGCATTGTGCAGCAGGCGTCCCCGAGAGGCAGGCCCATAGACCGGCGTACTCCCGGGGATGGTGAGCAAGGCGCTCCTGCGCCTCGTGTCTGCCGTCAACCGCAGGAGAATGAAGCTGCTGTTGGGCATCGCGCTGCTCGCCTACGTCGCCTGTGAGTGACCGCCCTTGGCCGGCCGGGGATCCTCATTCATTCCTGGGCTCGCGGCGGCGGGGCGGGGGTCGGAGGGTTGTATGCGGCCCCGGAGGCGGCCCTGCAGCCGCGTCTCCTTTCCCGCCGGGACCTGCGCTTCGTGCTCCCACTACTTTCCAGGGTCTTCGGATTCAACCTCTTTCCACTTTTGCGGCAAAGCAGCCAGCCAACTTGGGCTCAGACGCTCGACCGGTTAGGCCCGGCGCGGAGATAGGGTAGCCCGGAGAAGGGTCCCTTGCCCTGGACCTCAGTGACCATGGGGCCCAGCGCGGCGGAGTTGCCGCTGTCCTGGGCAACTTCGTGCCCAGTGGCCCCAGCCCACTGCCCCAGGTACCTCCTTCGACGCGTGCGACTGTTGTCCACGTCGCCCCGGGAGCCGGTAAGAGTCCCGACTGGCGATTCCGGAGCGTGCCGCGCGGGGACACTCTGGGGGCGTCCACCGCCGCGCCGCTGTGCCGTGATGGTTAAGTAGGATAAAAATACTGTTGCCGTTGGCATAGACCACGCTCCGACTGTTCGCTCCGCAAGAAAATTACTCAGCGTTATCGTAGCTGTTGGGGAGACGAGTATTGTTGGCCCCCGCCGGCTAGCGGCCGCTGCGAGGTGTGCGGGCTCTCGAGATTCCCAGGGCTCGGCGGGCGGCTTTCCTAGCCTGCCCTGGCCCAGGGGGACAGGCGCTTCCGTGTGTTGTGGTTCTCGTCACTGTATCACTCACGGTTGCACCCGAGACAGGGCAGGTATTGGGCCCTGTGTCTTAGAGGCAGAAACCGTTATTATTATTTTTAAATTTGATCTGTAGGATGGGAGTATATTTTAATTGTTGCTATTAATACTTTACCAAGTACCAAAATTGGACCAGAAATAGCTCCCAGTGAGCTCCGTTTGAATCCTAGCCACCGGACACAATGAAACCACCTGCTTAACCGGTCAAGTTATTAAGCTCTGATTCCCGAGGGGAGAGGAGACCCCGGAAAGTGATTTAGGTTAAATACTAGGACGACGTGTGATTCAGACCCAGCATGTTTACTGGAGCCCAGCTATTCCAGGAGGTGGAGCTGAGGAAGTGCTAGTAGGGCTTCTGGTTGCTAGGCCAGGTTTCAGGCTATGGGTGGATGTTAGATGTGAGTAGTTTTGGAGGGAGGAAGTGTGTGTAGTCTATTTTAAGTAAGAAAGCTGAGACCTAATGGGAAAGACCACTTAAAGTTGCATAATTATTGTTATGACAATAATTATATTACCAAAATTTGCTTAGTGCTCACTGTTTATGTGCAGGCATGAGCCTCTTTCATTGTTACATTTAATTATCTCAGCTGTCCTAGGAAGTAGGTACCAATTATTCCCATTTTAGAGATGAGGAAATTAAGGCCAAGAGAAATTAGGAAAATTTATGGGCGATCACACAGATGATAAGCTATGGAGAGCCAAGTTTTGAACATGGAAAGGTTGGGGAGCTGGGGCCTAGAGACTAGGTCTGCAGCACTTTACTGTTGATTAAGGGGGTTTCTAAAGTTAGACAGAGGGATTTAGAATTAATAAGGTAGGGAGGGGATTCAGGAGAGACATGGAAAGGTATTCACCATTCATTCAACCAGGAAATCCTACCAACTCCTTATTGCTGCGCTTGGCGCCAGGGGACACCACAGAGTGCAAAACACCTAAGCTTTGCAGTCATGGAGTCTAGGGCAGTGGGCCTCAAACTCACCTGAGGGGTTTGCAAAACTCAAGTTGCTGCCCCCTACCTCAAGTTTCTGATTCAGTAGGTCTTGGGTGTAGCCTGAAAATTTGCATTTCTAATAGCTTCTCCTGGGAATCTGCTACTGTGGTTTGGGGACTCACTTTGAGAATGACTGGCCTACAAGGTGAGATGGCCATGAATTAGATATCACCCAGATGAGGGTTAAATTATCAACTGATAGAAGGAAAGGAATGCGTAAGAGTTTATGGCAGAGGCTACTGTGGTAGAGCAACCAGGCACGTTTGTCTCTATGAGGAATTGAGACTTGAGCTGAGAATTGAAGGATCTGTAGGAATTAGTAGAGAGGTAGAGGAGGGGATGTTTTCCAGAACAGACAGCTTGTGCCAGAGGCCCTGTGGCAGCCAAGAGCAGGGAATGTTCTGGGACTGCAAAGAAGGATCGTGTCTTTGGAGTGTGAAAGTGAAGTATAGCGGTGAGGCTGCCTCACCAGACAGAGCAGTCAGGCCTGGGAGAGGCCTGTGCCAGTTTGTGAAGTGGGCAGTTTTAGCTGTGAGGCATTTAAGACTCGGGCAGAGGCAGTGCTACTAAGGAGCAGGGGTAGTAAGTCTGAGACACTTGGCAGGAAAAATGTTACAGGGCTCCTGATAGTGTCCGAGGATGCTGAAAAGGTAAGCTCACAATGACTTCTGAGATTTTTAGTGTCTACTTTCCCTTATTAATAATCTTGCCTCCCCCATTATGAGTAAAATCTCACCTGTGTAGAGAAAGAACTATCCATACTCCTGAATTACACGAACTGTCACTATTAGCCAGTCCCCTTTCTGGAAATGCTCTGCCTGCTCCTCTTTCAGGTTCTGCTAGTCTTTCTCACTATCCCTCTTCTTTTGCCTCCTCTTCCTCAGTATTTTATGCCTTCTGGAGCCCAGGCTCCCTTCTTGTTACCACATAACTCTTCTGTACATGCTTAGGGGGCTTAGCATACGCCAACTTGCATTGCATGTGAGTTCTATGCATATGTTTTCTTCTCAATAAAATTGCCAGTCCTTCAGGACAGGGATTATGTCTTACACATTTCAGTCCTTGTGGCACTTAGATCAGTGCAGTTAGGTCATTGGAGAAGCTCTGGGGTCTGATTGTTTGAAAATTGGCACACCTACTAGGTGGCTCTGTTAACAGAGACTCAGCTCCCGTTACCCTTAATGTTTTTTTAGCATGCACATAGTTATAGTTTAAAAAGTCAAATAGCCTCTGCAAGAGTTGTTAGGGAAAAGTGCCCCTGCCACTATTTTCTCTTCCTCTGAGGCAGGCACTTGATTTCTTCTAGCTGATTATTTTGGTATTTGTCTTTGTGCCATAGAATGATCTGCCTCTTGAATTTTCACTTGTAGATATTTGTTACTTAGCGCCTTTCCTTTTTGGAAGGTGACTGTTCATTCTCTTTCCTCTGTACCCATGCTCATCGTCTCCCCATGCTCATCGTCTCCAATAAAGGTATTGGGGAATTTTGGAGAGATCAACATTTAGTATTCATGTGTATGACTAAATGCCATTCATAGTGAGCCATGCTATATATTTTTGCTTTCCTTGGAGCTAATATCTGGCTTTAAAAAAAAATTTACTATGCTTTTGAGGTACTATTACTGATTCAACTCCAACACTTTGTTGGTTGCTTGTGTCTTCTTGCAGGATGCTCAGAAGCGTCAGGGCCTCTTTCTGAAGAAGGGCCCCAGCCTTCAGAGCGGCTCTTCCTGTCACTCATCTCCTGTCTCCTCATTTCCTCTTCCTTATTTCACACAGTTGTGCACAGAAGGAACATTTGGAGCTATGTCCATGAGTTCATCTTTCCTTTCTTCACATTTAGTTCATAGATTAATGATGTAGAATTCTAGAAATGGGTTCCCTCAGAATTACTCAGGCATCATTTCATTCCTTTCTGACTTCTAGTGTTGATGAGGAGTTTCAGCTCAGTCCCTTTCTATGTGATTTGCATTTTTTCTTAAAGATTGCGGGATCTTTTTGCTGTAGTATTCGTGTTCACTGCAAACTTCCAGCTCTGCCCCTGTGCCTTTCCTCACTCCTGGAGTTTGGTGGCCTCATGTAATCGCTGTGCTGGGAGGTGACGGGGTGCCCACTTCACTTCTGGGCCCAGAGGTTAGTTGTGAAGGCAGGTTTCTACCGTGTTCCAGGTGGCAGTGCTCAGTGTGCAGAGTCCGCCTCTCTCCCAACTCCCTGAGAGTGAAATAACCCTGAAGGATATGTCTTTGCTGTTCCAAGCCTCTTAGAGTTGGTCGGTGCTGCAGTTCAGCAAAGCCTGCTCTGATAACCCGCCCTGTGCCCTGCTTAGGTGCCTGATACACAGGGTGCAGGATACCTTTGAGCCCTTGCAATCCAGAAACTCCAGTTCTTCAGTTCTGGAAGTTTTCTTGAACTGCTCTTTGGTTATTGCCTTCCCCTCATTTTCTCTTTCTGGGATATTACTGTGCTCATTAGAACTGCCTGGTCTAGTCCTTTAATTTCCAACTTTCTCCCCTTTTTAAAGTTTTGCTCTGCTTTTAGGAAATTTCCTTTGTATTCTAACTTTTCTAATAATTTTTAAAAGTTTTTATTTTTGCTGTCATTTTTCACTTAAAAGAGTTCTTTTTTGTTTTCTGAATTAAAAAAATAAAAAAAATATGGTCTTTGTTTCATGGTTGTATTCTCTTCATGATAGTTTTGTCTGTTCAATTTTCATCTCATTGAAGAGTTTCTCCCAGGTTACTTCTCCCTTTCTTATTTGAGACTCTTCTCAGCTTTCTGATGAACTTGGGGACTTGGGTGGATAGGGAGCCCTGAGCTGCCTATTGACAGTAAGCTGTGTCACATTTTGGAGGAGCCTCACAACCTCAGTACTGTGGGACTGTCCTCTGAGCTGTTGGGACAAGGCTGCTCCCTGCCCCTCATGAAAAGGGAGGCCTGGCTGCCTGCATTCTGGGAGCCCAGTGGGGAGTGGGCTGAAGTACCTTGATTATCATCCCTGTTGGACTTGGGGCTCCCCAGTCTGAGACCCCATTCTGCCCTTTCCAGAGATGGAACTGCCTATCTTCTGCCAAAGCAGGGAGGGGAGCTGGCAGTCATAGTGCTGTTAAGATAGATTTGAAAGTCAAACTTTCTATCTTAGCTACCTGTATCCTACATCCAAGTGCACCGGCATGATCATTCTCAACCTTTCTAAGGCAGCGATAGTCTTTTTCATTTCATGGCATAAATGAGCTAATTACCAAAATTC